CGCGCCAGATGACGGAGCGTGGGGCTCCTCACCGGGAGACCGCTCAGGCCCCCCTTTGCCGGTTCGGCCGGGGGCCCTGGGTGAGATTCTAAGCTCCTAGTCTATGTGTGGAAGGTTCGCGAGAATGGAAACACACAAGACACGGGCGATGTATACAGGTTCGGGCCGCTGAGAAGCGTAATACCCTACTCCTGTGTTTTTGTGGATCTATGTATGAAGAAGCTACAAAAGAGCTGGCGAACCAGAGAGCTCTTACTCTCTCCCTCTCTGATCGTTCTGGATCCCAAAAAAAATTCATCTCCCTTCTAAGTGGGCAAGGTCCTCCTTTTATACCTCAAGGGGATACCACATGCACCATCTCTCTCTTTTTTGTGGGGACTTATCCTATCTTTTCATAAACAGACGGAGACTTGTATGGTTGCCGTCCGAATGACCTTCTGATGGGACGACCCATACCTACCTCCACTTCCGCCGGAAGCAGGCGCGACGTGGGAACATGGCTGTCTGCTGACGACATGACCAGTGTCAGACCGGTCACAAATCGGTCATTCTTGTCCACCACGCGTCAGTTTATCAATCTGCATATTCGCCCCTCTTCATACAATGTCTTGCTTGTAATGGTTAGGATGAAGCCTGGCATATATCTGACCGGGTCCAACGTGCCACCTCCAGGAGCTAACACGCCGACCCCGGCTAGGGATGAGTGCTTGGAGGCTCTCATCCTGACGGGATGGGGCGAGGCGTGCGTCAGACCGCCTGTCGCCACCTAACCCACGATCTGATCGGTCTGTGACTGGTCACAGACCGGATAAACGAGCGCGCTGCACTGCGTTACATACGGCGTGACGCGCTCGTCCAAACCGCAATAAATGCGGTTAGGTGAGCCCCGCTGCGCTCACCTAACCCATACACGCGGCGCAAAACCTACAAGGGGTCGGGGCGCCTCAGCCCTCGGGGCCGAAACGGGAGCGGTCCGACCCCTCGGGAAGACAAAGAGGGGGGCGGCCACATCACCCTCGGGCCCAACCCCCCCCCCCCCCGAGGGGGTCAGGCCTCGTGGGTGATTGCTCCTGCCCAAGCCTCTAGTCATGATACTCCCGGTCCTATGTCACCGACAGTTAGGGTTTCAGCTGGTGGCAATTTTTTCTGGGGTTTATCGATGGCCCATGACTCTCCCGCACTGCATCAGCCACCCATCAGAGATCATCGCAATCCATTAGGATAGGACAACTCACACTGACAGGTCGCACTTGGTCTTCGCGTGCCTCACGGGCCAGCTCTGGCCTCTGGGCCACGGCCGATCTTTGGGCCAAATTGAATTTCTCTTATTATTGCCCGAATTAATGATTTCCTCTTTATATAAATGCATTTTAATCCGTTTAAGCAATTATTTGATGACATAAAGTTGCATTATAAACTTTCTTATGCAATTGAGATCATATGTAGCTAAATGGAACCAACAAGAAATTTGGCTACAAAATTTAATTTATCACCATTATTCATATATTAATGTTAATTTTACCTTATGTCACTTTATGTTTTAATATTTTATTATTCCATATTGTCTTACGATATGAAGGAATAGGTTTTTATTTATGTGCACAATTAATATATTTTATTTCAATCATGTCATTTCACTCTATTTTGGCCCAATGATATTATGGAAATCTTACGGGCTGGGCCGAAGAGACGCAGACCAAGCAGAGGGACATAGGAGGCAGCGGATTAGGCTGCGGCTGAAAAGGAAGGAAGGAATGGGCTTTCGACCCAAAAGCAAGGAAGGATTTTAATTAACCTTTCCAATTATAATGTATAGCGATACCAATATTTTAATTTTTTTCTCAGCTCCTAATAATTGTGGTGCCATTGGAAAAAATGACTTTTATTGTACCACTGGAAAAAAACGACTTTACCCGTTGCAATAAACGAGCATTTTTCTAGTAGTATTTTTTTCACATTTTATTAATTAAATATATTAAAATAGTAATAGAATTTTTAATTAATGGCAATATGTTCGTGCATTGCAATGGGTGAAACTAATATTTATATTATCGATGGAGTAGATCGTGACTACGGTGTTCGCAGGGTATAGGGATCGTTAGTACCATGATATACGTGAGATTGTGGTAAAAGAGACGGAGAAAAATATTTTTATATAGGTTCGGGCCCCTTATCTATATGGTAACAACCTACTCCTGTTGGTCGAAGCCGGTATTGCTCTTATTCATCAAAATCACATAAGTACAATATTTGGGATAACATATCTGGTCATCGTCGACTTGGTGACATGGAACACCACATGAGGGTGGTCTTCTCCCTCGAATATGAACTCGGCGAGGTTTGGGTAGCGCTAGATCCCTCATGTCTGCCTCTGGGGCTCCGGATTGGATCTATCTGGGCTTATCTCTCATGCCGATATCTATTGGTGTTGGCTTGTATTGGTCTCTATTCTGACTGGACGTGTCCTCTCCTCCAAGAGGGTCTTCTTTTTATACCCACGGATATCCTATTGTCCAAGTAGAACTAGCGAGACAAGTATGTATACGATTTGAGTAGTTCTTGTAGTTTCTCTGTAGAACTCTGTTTCTCCTTCCTTATCCGGAACACCTCCCGTATATGAGGCATGGTTTTGTATAAGACTTGGTATATGGTGGGCCCCGCCGAGCTTAACTCAAGACTATTGAGTATGCCTTATCCATAGCACTGACAAATATTAACAAAAAAAATAAATCCTAATAATTAAAATTTAAGTATCATAATGATAAGGAAAATTTTATTTTTTTTTCACTAAATTTCTTGTTGGTTCCATTTGGCAAAAAAAGAAATTCAAAGTGCAAAAATATTCCTAAATGGTAAGTCCGTTGGGCCAAGACGATAAAGGAAATAATTTAAAATGCACATGCATAATTTGCTGCAGATATATAGCTTAAAATGAAGGCTCAAGGTGACTAAAATTAATTACTAATTTGTGACTAAAATAATTACTAATTAAGTATTATAATATGTAATTTTCGGGTGAAACATAAATGAAAAATGAAATTTTTACCAACATGCCGGTGGTGGCCCAAAAGGCGTGCTTGCTTATGAGGCATGAGATGGCCTAGCATCCGCGTGAGTGTGACATCCTAGACTAATTAGGATTTGAACTGTGTGACCCATAAGAGTTGTGTGCGCATGTTTAGTACTACCTTGATAGTTGAGTAAGGTTGAAACCAACTTATAAGGGTTTGTCACTCCAACCATATCACTCCCGGTTTAACCCTTTTACTGAAGCGAGGACGAACGTGTAAATGAGATGGTATGTGTAAGTGGACCCTCCCATCGGATGGGCTGGGCTACACCGTTGTGGTGGGCGGGATGTTACAAATGGTATCAGAGCTGACCCTCGTGGTTGCACATACGGATAAATGTGCGTGCATATTGGTTTCAGAGCCGACCGTCGCGGTTGCGCGTATGGGTCTATGCGTGCATATTGGATTTGCTAGATGTACGGATGTGCGCTAAGAGGGAACATGTTCCTGGATTTGCCTATATGCTTGTGCAACTATACAAGTAAGTTGGACTGACAAGGACATCGGGTCTTTTGAGGGGTGTGTGTGACATCATGGCCTAATTGGGATTTGGCCTGTGTAGCCACGGGGATGTCGGGTCCTTTGAGAAGAGTTGTGTGATATCCTGGCCCAATTAAAATTTGACATGTATGGCCCATAAGAGCTATGTGCATGGTTAGTATCACCTTTCTAATTTAGCAAGGTTGAAACCAACTTACAAGAGCTTGTCCCTCCAACCATATCACTTACGGGCTAACCCTTTTACACAAAACGAGGATGAAAGTGTATGTGAGCTCACCCATTGGATGGGTTGGGCTAATGCCGCACACAGCTCCGGCGGAGTTGAAGCCAACGGCGCACAATGGGTCGACGTCCCCAAATTAACACAAGTCGGATGTTCTTGCGAGTTGAGGGTCGACGACGCCAAGGTGATAGCAGCAGCGGCGATGGCGCACGGCAGGCTGAGGCCGGTGAACCACACCCCACCACGGCTTCTCTTCCTTGGTGTCGCCAAAGCCGCGGCCGAGGCAAGCCTCAGTCTCATGCGGCCAACTTAAGTAGGGACCGGTTTGGGCGGTGGAGTCGAACTGCGACAACACGGATGCGTGATGTGGCAGCGACACTCGCGTGAAGGGAACCGGCATGAAGCTAGTGGAGGAGCTCAGAGGTGCACATGCGGGTTGAAGTTGGTGCCACATGGGGAGGGCTCCAACGACCGAGGTCCCGATCCGGTGAGTTAAGCCCCAAGTTCTTTAGGGTTTGCACCGATTTAGGGTTTTGATTTGGGTTTGCAATTTGGGAATTTAGGGTCCTTGATTTGGGGGAATTGAAAATCAGGGTTTATAATTTGGGGAAAATACATGGGAAGGATTTAGTTGGCATTCTGTTATATTCTATGTATATTTATGAATCAAATTGGCACTCGTTATTCCTTTTCTTTTTCTTTTTATCTACCGTCATGTGCAGTTGAATCAATACTAATATAAGGCCTACATCCCTTAAAAAACCTTCTATGCAAGGTCACAATGCATTTCTCAATACTAATATAATACCAATCTCTATCACATTATCTGGTGAATTTCTCAATACATCTGCCCTCCATTTGGAAATAAAAAAAATGGTCGAAATGGCATTGTAGCAAGATGGCTTCGTTTCAAAGTGGCATTATAACAAAGCCACATTCCGGAGTGGCATTTCAGCAAAACCCCACCCTGAAGATGGCAAAATATCAATTTTCTCGTTAATGCAAGGATGTGGTTTGGAAAAAATAATAGCTTGTGTTAACACATTTTGGAGGAAAATATCTCATAAAAAGTGCTTCGGGAAATGTGCGCCCCACAAAATTCTATAGATCCCGGAGAAAATCACGTACATTTACATTTTCTATGGAGGGGTATTAATGTTCGTCACATAAATAAAATCAATAGCACATTAAATCAGAAGCTTATGAAATGGGAAATAAGTGATAAGCGATTTAGAAGCCTAGGCTAGAAAATACACTACACTGAAAAAAAAATCTCTAATATCAACATTCAAGATTCAAATTTTGGTTGCAGTTAATAAACCAACAAGTAACATTCAGATCAACACTAAAAATAAGTTAGGTTCATCAAACTACAAGTTTGGATTCCCTCACATATGACTACTGTCAGCTCGATTCTTTGAATATCGCATCCAAATTTTCATGCAGTTCATTGTGCCAAACAATGAGCCTTGCCCATGCTATGACATACTGTTCATGTGCGAGTGAGTAATCACCAACTTTAGCATCGACACCGCCTTTGCCCCACTCCACATTGTCGCTGCCCTTGTAACCGATCTGCCTCGCTGAAAAGAGCATGCAAATAATAGGTTAACCCCTTTCAAAGATGTTTCTAGTCCACTCCAACTCCATTAGCACTAAAAATTACCTGGTTTTGAACCTATACTTCCCTTCACTCTGTCCTTCTCAAGGGATGCAGACCATCTTGGCAGATCGGAATATAAATCATTTTCAATATCTTCATCTTCATCTTGGTTTGTGCAAAAGAAAAGAAGTGGACCCACGCCTTGTCTATTGAATGAACAAACTAGAGTGCCATCTACACAAGCAATTCCAAGTGGAATCAGGCTTTTGTTCTGTTTCTGGAGCAGGATATTTCAAAACCTACAGAATTCAAATAAAGTTTCCGTTAGTGATCAACAAGGGTATAAAACACCATATGTTTGAGTTTTGTAGTGTATAAATTGTCAGTATATCACACACAACACCAAGGACGCTGGAGAAGCGAAGGAAGCACTTGATTTGGTGGCTGCAGCGGCGGCGGAAAGGGTAGAGCGGGGCTGCAGGGTGTTAGATGTATATGTATTCTTGTATTTCCCCATTGTATAAGGGGCTTTTGTGCATATTTACCCACTCTTGTACCTGTATATATTTGGGCCTAGTGCCCCTATAACGAATAGAAGTGCTATTCATAACAAAGGAGTGAGAGAGCTACGAACCCTAGTTTAGCCTCAGCACAAATCCCCCTCTCGAAGCATTTAATACAGCCAGAATGAAGGGGAAAACGCCAATAAATAGCAGAGCAATTAGAAATCACGAGAGGCAAGACAAAATGGCAAAGATCATAACGCGAAAAAAAATGATTGGCCGAGAGGACGAGAGTGACGAACCTCTCAAGCCACAGGAGATCAAATGGTGCACGGATCACATAGCTACGGCTGTTGCGGATGCTGATGCCGCCCCCACGATGGATAACATGCCATCCAGTAAAAGAGATGGAAGTATTGATTAGAATAAGAAAAATGCAATATTACATAAGAAAATAGTACTAATTTAGTCATGATTGATAAAGCTTACTCGGGTGCATGGTAAGAAGTGTTCCGGGGAAATATGTGTCCCACAAATTCTTATAGAAGCTCTAAGAAAATCACCTAACATTTTCTACGGAGTATAAATGTCCGTCACATAAATAAAGTCCTACAGCGCATTGAAACAGAAGCTTAATGTAGTATCAGTCATCATTTAATTGAAAGCTATACTTCTCTTCACTCTGTCCTTCGCAAGGGATGCAGACCATCTGGCAGATCGGAATATAAATCATTTCCAATAGCTTCATCTTCATCTTGGTTCGTGCAAAAAAGAAGAAGCCGATCCACGCCTTGTCTATCGAATGAAGAAACTGAAGTGCCATCTACACAAGCAATTCCGAGTGGAACCAGGCTTTTGTAAGACGTTTCTTGAGCAAGATATTTCAAAACCAGCAGAGTTCAAATAAATCTTCAGTTAGTGATAAACAAGGGTATAAAACACCATATGTTTTGAGTTTAGTAGTGTATCGATTATCAGTATATCACACATAACACCAAGGATGCCGGCAGAAGCACAAGAAGCATTTGATTTGGTGGCGGCAACGGCAGCAGAAAGGGTAGAGCGGGGCTGTGGGGGCGAGAGAGCTATGAACCCTAGTTTAGCCTCAGCACAAATCCCCCTCTTGAATCATTTAATACAGCCAGAATGAAGGGGAAAACGCTAATAAATAGCCAAGCAATTAGAAATCACTATAGGCGAGACAAAACGGCAAAGATCATGATGCCAAAAGAAAAATTATTTGGCCGGGAGGACCAGAGTGACGAACCTCTCAAGCCACGGGAGATCAAATGGTGCACGGATCACATAGCTATAGCTGCCGCGGATGCTGATGCCGCCGCTGCGGCAGATCACATAGCATCATGTAAAAGAGATGAAAGTACTGATTGGAATAAGAAAAATGCAATATTACATAAGAAAATAGTACTAATTTAGTCATGATTGAGAAAAGCTTACTAGGGTGCATGGTAAAAAGTGTTTCGGGAAATATGTGTGTCCCACAAATTCTTATAGAAGCCCTAAGAAAATCGCCTAACATTTTCTACGGGGTAAGTATATTGGGCTTTTGCTTGTGTCCACAGGACTGGCTTCCTCGTTGTGTGCAGTTCAAACACCGGCTTAATGTGTCGGGAACATTTCTGCTCTTCTGGCAAGATTTAATTGCTGCTAATTTAGCCCAACTAACTAGCATCCTGTGAAAGAGATGGAAGCATGATTATTGGTTGGAATAAGAAAAATGTCATATTATGTACTCCCTCCGTTCTAAAATAAATAAACCTAGTACGGGATATGATAGAGAAAGTATATGTGAGTGGTGACACCGGTGCCCTAACATCCTGGATCCACCCCTTAGCCAACTATTAAACTTGCTCTACAAAAATAAACAGCAAAAGGATAGTCACGTCCAACCTTCCAGACGAGATCAACTCCGGGAATGGGAATGACGGCCACAGCCGCTGGGACTCGGGCATTGGACCAGGTGGCGTCCGCTGCTTGCCTACCTTACCGCACAGCACTGCAAGCATCGTGCACTTCACCCTTGAGCTGCTCAGGAAATGAGGCATGGTTGAACAAAAAAACACCACAGATCCGCAACCGTTGAACCCTGCAAAGGCCTGCCACACCAAAAATACATCTCAACCCAAAACTAACAAGAACTACGACGAACCAAGAAAATCAAACCAACACGCCAGATATGGATCTAGCAAATCGAAGCTCTAACAGAAGACCGAAATCGACTACCACAACACGAAGGAGCAAGGCGTGCTCGACTTGGTGGCGGCAGCGGCAGAGGAAGGGGTAGAGCTAGGATGTGGGGGCGAGAATGCTATGAACCCTAACACAAATCCCCCTCTCCGAGAATTTAGTAGAGCCAAAAACAAAGGGAAAATTGCCAATTAATCCCCAAAAGCAAGCAAAAAAGGCAAGATCGTAACGGCAAAAAAAATTGATTGCCAAGAGGGACGAACCGCTCGAGCCAGTGGAGATCGAACTGCGCAAGGAAGCAGGGATCTCCCCAATTCCTCACATTGCTACAGCTGCTGCGGATGCTAATGCTGCCGCCGCAGCGGATCACATAGCATCCTGTAAAAGAGATGAAAGTACTGATTGGAACAAGAAAAATGCAATATTACATAAGAAAATAGTACTAATTTAGTCATTATGGATAAAGCTTACTAGGGTGCATGGTAAAAAGTGTTTCGGGAAATATGTGTCCCACAAATTCTTATAGAAGCCCTAAGAAAATCGCCTAACATTTTCTACGGAGTATAAATGTCCATCACATAAATAAAATCGAACAGCGCATTGAAACGAAAGCTTATGGTAGTATCGGTTATCATTTATTTGAAAGCTAAGAGCAGTGACCAACATTGTTGCAATAAGCTAAGAGTTTGGTGCTTACTATGGTCGGAAAAGGTGGACTAGTGAGTGAACTAAATATCTATGGATCAGATACATCAGCCTCGCCCCAGACAAGTGTACCAATTTCTTCCTCATTCTCAAGCTGCTGACCCTGGAGGTACATCAAGTTGGGCTGCACAGCCTGTTTTGCTTTCCGAAATTTGGATTCGCTCAACATAGAGCCTCGCCCTTGCGATGCTTGTTGATGTGCAAGTGAGTTGTGCATTCTCTCAACATTCAGCACTGACAACACCTTTGCACAACTACAAATTGCCGTTGCCCTTGTATCCTTCACCTAGCTGAAAAGAACGTGAAAAACAATAGGTTAATCCCTTTCATAAGATGTTTCTAGTCCACTCCAACTCCATTAGCACTAAGAATCACCTGGTTTTGACACAAAATTTCTCTTCACTCTGTCCTTCGCAAGGGATGCAGACCATCTTGGCAGATGGTGATATAGACCATTTCCAATAGCTTCATCTTCATCTTGGTTTGTGCAAAAGAAAAGAAGCCGATCCACATCTTCTTTATCGAACGAAGAAACTGGAGTATCATTTACAGAAGCAATTCCAAGTGGAACCAGGCTTTTGTAAGACGTTTCTTGAGCAAGATATTTCAAAACCTACACAATTCAAACAAATCTTCAGTTGTCAATATATATTGAGTTTAGCAGTGGATAAATTGTCAGTATATCACACATGTCACCAAGCTGTCTAATCAGTTTCATTTAAACTTTTCTGAAGAAAATTAACCTGTGCTGCCCACTTAGGTAAGGTCATCAACACTTCAAAAGTAGAAGCTCCAGAAGCCACGGACATTGAAGTCAAAGGCTCGGCTGAAGATGGTCCATCATCCTCGCTAACCGAGACAACACGAACTAACCGGCGGCTCTCAATAAGTTCTTTCTTAATATGCTTCTCCAAAAGCTACATAAACAGCATATGACATTGCAAATATCAGACTGAAGACTAAATAATGCTCCATAAATACAGAAACCATACCTCGTCATCAAAACAGGTTTGTGGACTGCCAGAAAGAAGCAGTGACACGTGTGAAGAACTGGATGTAGTGATATCACAACATATTGTAACCACCCCGTCTAACAGAGCTGAATCAACATGAAGAGGAGGAGCAGCGCTGCAAAGAGAAATATTGTGAGCAGAAACAAGCTAAACATTATATAGTAATCATGCAAGCAACGATGCAGAACTGCAAATAAGAATAAGAAGCACAACTTAAAATATGATTAAAAAAGGATACAGGTTAAATACTCTATCGCGCAGTAGTTTACATTTTACACACCAATAAAAGCATTTAATTTGTGTTACCATTAAGTTTTGTCTTTAGTCTATATGGAAATGTAACCTCAGTTAACCTCTAAATTATAGCAGCAAAATACAGGTTAGCTCATTTGATATATCACCAATTTAAGCTTCAAATATTTTTGTGGCATAGAAAATTACGATATGATTGCGACATGAGCAATAGTGTTTAAGACACAACAGGTTGCGAGATATTGAATATGTATTATACAGCACACATAACTCACACATGAGCAATAGTGTTTAAGACACAGATGCAAACATAACTCACACATGAGCAATAGTGTTTAAGACACAACAGGTTGCGAGGTATTGAATATGTAGTATACAGCAGCTGAAGATACCTGACTCTATCCTGGAGTTTGCACCACCGAAACTGAAAAGAGAGAAGAAAATCAAACATTAAAAAAAGGCCCTATCAACAATTTTACTACTTGCATCATTTTTCTCGTGCAGTTTAATAGACAAGAATGAATTGACACTGTGCAGTATGTGCCATATTATCTTGTTCCTAAATTCATGGTACATAAAATTTGCATACAATGGTGCTAGCAAAATACCGGTGTATTGCAACAATCAACAAATATACATATATTTCATGAAAAAAAACATATACATTTGCAATCCACATCAATCAGAAAATAAATCCACAAATTAGAAGATCCCACCAAACAAAAGAGGAGGTGGTGGGATGGCAGACCCACCAATCACCACCACCACTACTAAGTTCTTAGATGTGGGTATGCTGCATAGTCTAAAATGAAAATTTACGTCTCAGAAAACGAGACTATGACTAATCTACAGGAAGCTTCACTCCATAACCATGCAAGTATAGACTTTGGAACCTAGCCCCACCAGCTTGTATAAGCTGCTTACAAGTAGCAATAGTGGTCGATGGCCACTAGCCCGTTACTTACGATGCAACAATATTTATGATTTGTAAGTTAGCATAATAGCATCACGTACTTCATTACTCCAATAACCTAGAATTTCTACAAAATAGGTCTCTGGGTAATACTCCATTCAGAACTCAGCACGAATTAGATGTAGAAAATAAAAAGCAGCAACATTGATTTGACACATACTTCAATATTGAGAAGAGCATTCAAACCATCCTCTAGTGAGTTCAATATAGATGAATCCTGTAAAAGGGATGGAAATACAATCATTGATTTGGAATAAGAAAAATTGCCATATTTTAGAATAAAAATCTCGGCATGATCGCTTCAACTTACAGGGGTGCAATGTGCTCCACAGATAAGAAGCTTTAAGTGCACATCTTCATCGTATATCTTTATGTCTGGAAAGTATTCAGAGGTATCTTCTTCCTCAGCCATTTTGTTTCCAGGAGGGGTGATATATATCCTTGGAGCATCCCCAAGAAGATGAGGCCCAAGCATAAGACGTTGCACGTCATTATTTCTTACACAGTATTGTTCAAAAGAAGCATATGCAAGCTGAAATGCATCCCATGCATGGCTGCAGGAGCTACAAACAGGAATACACAATTATTGGATAAAGAAACAAAAACTTAATGGCTTAAAATATATTCAACAAATGCAAGACGGATATGAGATACCTCCGAACAACTGACAATAAGGAATGGCGAAAATGAGATGCCGCATAGGATGATAATGAATATCTCCAATACATTATATATGAAATCCCCTAGCAATGAAAGAGTATAAAAAATACAAATTTGAAATTGGAAATAAGATTCCAAAGTAATGACAGAGTTGGAATTGTATTTTGGGGGAAAAAAAAGCTTAGTAAAACTGCCAAGAAAATTGTAAGTTAGTAATCAGCATGTGGGAAAATGGGCAGTAATTGCAGATATTAAAAGCATATAGTTATATAAAAATACCATCAATAGAACCTCACTATGCCAGTCAAAACAAGTTAAACAAATGCAATTTAGTAATTGTTTTATAGAAACTAAGCTCTATAATACTCTACAGAAAAAAAATTGAACAACAAATGGGGACATTTGGATATTGCATCGATAAAGCAGATTCCCACCTACGTGGTAAAAGATATTTGCAGCAATAAGCAATCTACAGGCTCAAATGTAAATAAGAAACAGCGACTTGAAAATATCAGAAAATAGACTACCTTCGATTGAAGAGATTGAGCAATCTTTTCTCCACTTGGAACTTCCAAATAAACCTGAATTAGATCTTAAAAGGTAAGATAAGTAGCTACAACGAAGAAGACTAAGGAAAAATTGGAAAGAATAACTTTCATTAACTAAACAGGAAAACAGGCAGAGGAAGGTTAAGAAGAAATTGAATTGTTACTAGCTACAAGTCAGATAAATATATCTGGAATATATAAACAAGGTTACAAGGGTTAAAAAACAAAAAATAAAATAAGTAATTTTAAGGGCCAATCTGTTAATCTCTAAATTGGCCCTTAAATCACAATCAACCTCAATAACAAAGGGAGCCTAGATGCACGCAATTATGAACTACTCCCTCTGCAGAACTATATAAGGCATGTATTTTTATCGCATTAAACCATCAAATCCAATTAGATAACCTAAATGCCCATATTTATAGCTCCATAAGAGTATTAATGCTATCGCTGCCTGGCTCTAATCCCAGCTGCATGCATGCATGAACTAATCATACTATCGATCACTCAATTGAAAGATCAATACCGTATGCTAAGAGCGGTGATAACACTAAACTAAAAGATCAATACCGTATGCTAAGAGCGGTCATAACCACTTTAGCAAGCACTCTAGCACCCAATTATACAAATTGCCAAACTTCATCAGCAAACACTAATAACTAAAGTGGATCAGTAAACCAAACATGTAAGGAAGCATAGATATAGCTATAAACTGCAGCGCTAAAAGAAGCATAGTCCAGGTGCTATGGGAGCTGAAGCGCCAAGCAGCCAAACATCAGAACTCAAAAATCGGTGCTAGGCGCCTGTTAGCCACCTGCGATTATGCATTACATGCTGTATTAGGCGGCTAACCAACCTTAGGTGCTCTTGTGCTTCTATTTTAGTGTTGTATTGTGTAATTTTTATGTAATATGCTTGCTAATTTCCTAGGCACCAGCTCTGCAGACCCTCTAGGGCTCCTGTATTGTCTCATTTGCCGGTTTAAGTTAGACATGATAATATGATGTAGTACATAGAAAATCAGCAGAGTTTGGTGCTTACTATGGTAGGAATAGGCGGACAAAAAAGCATAGATATAGCTATAAATTGCAGTGCTAAAAGAAGCATAGTACAGGTGCTATGGGAGCTCAAGCGCCAAGCAGGCCAGCAGCCAAACATCAGTACTCAAAAATTGGCGCTAGGTGTCTGTCAGCCACCTGCTATTATGCATTACATGGTGTATTAAGCGGCTAACCAACCTAAGGTGCTCTTATGCTTCTATTTCCGTGTTGTATTGTGTAATTTTTATGTAATATGCTTGCTAATTTCCTAGGCCAGGCTCTTGTATTGTCTAACATTTGCCGGTTTAAGTTAGACATGATAAAATGGTATAATACATAGAAAATCAGCAGAGTTTGGTGCTTACTATGGTAGGAAAAGGCGAACAAATGAGTGAACTAAATGTCTGTGGATCAGAAACATCAGCATCGCCCCAAACAAGTGCGCCGATTTCTTCCTCATTGTCAAGCAGCTGTCCCTGGAGGTATATGAAGCGGGGCTGCAAAGCCCGTTGTGCCTCCAGAAATTGATCAACCGTAGGATTGATCAGCGTGTGCACCTGCATGCCCAAATTTCCAAGTTCAGAACTGACAAACAAAATATGTACTTAAGACCAAGTTTAATAGTAAAGCTAACTACTAGCTATAAGGCAATCGAAAATTAGCATTAGAATTCACATGTGTAACAGATTGGTTATAAGGTTGCCTCTAAATTTCTTCTCTCTTTCTCTCATGTATATATAATTAATTAATGCATTTATCTTAGCATGTGTATAGCTAGCTTTTGCATAAGAGTTAACACTATTTTCTTGGTTATCACAGGGGCATATCCATCACTGGGGCTTGTCGGGGCTCAAGTCCCAGCTCTGGCCGCCAAACCTATCAGCCACTGCTTCAGCCACTGCAAGCTGCAACGCAGTACTGAGAGCCTATAAGGATGGTGAAAACTTAAAAACCTGTTATCTGATCAACTGATAGAGCGATGAACCAGATGGAATTGTTCTCGCAAGATGCTTGTTAGGCAGAGAGGGGAACTAGCTTACTAAGCTAGAAAACGTACTATATCTATGCTTGCTTTGAAGTGGAACAGCATGCTAATATGGAACCACAAGAGAGAAAATGGAAAGTAGGTTTAGATTTTAGGGGTTTTGTCAACAAAAGTGAGCCACTTAATTTAATACACAACTGTAAAAGTGTAAAGATCTGTTTGCAACATGATTTATATTCATCATTGCATCTATGCTAACAAGATTTGGCTCGATCAATTGGCTATTGGGGCCGTTTTGCGAAATGGATTGCTTTGCTGGCCATGAATAGGATGCTGAAACTTGCAAGAGTGATTTTTTATTTAATCACGGCACACATGCATGTTTACAAATTTCTATAAGCAATATTATATGATAGATAATATTAACCTGTGCTGCGATCCTATTTTAACTTCATTGGCCATGTGTGGATTGTAATCATGTGTATAAAATACTTTTGGTATTATTTTAGGCCGAATAAATAAAACTGAAGTGAAACGAGTATTTGCCTAAGCGCAGCATGTCGAAACGCGGGCACGTCTAGTAAGTGAGTGGTAACACCTGTGCCCCAACATCCTAGATCACCTGTGCCCCAACATCTTAGATCCGTCCCTTAGCCTACTATTAAACTTGCTCTAGAAAAATAAACAGCAAAAGATACTTACATCCAACCTCCCGGACGAGATCAACTCCAGGAATGGGAATGACGGCCGCGGCCGCTGGGACTCGGGCACTGGACCAGGTGGCGTCCGCTGCTTGCCTACCTTACCGCACAGAACTGCAAGCATCGTGCACTTCACCCTTGAGCCGCTCTTGAAATGAGACATGGTTGAACTTGAACGCTGCAAGGCTGCAAAACCAATAGCAACAACAGACCAAACCTCCTCCATAAAAAATCTCCACCCAAAACCAACCGAGCAAATCAAACAAAAAGATCTCCACCCGGAACCAAAAAGGAACGAATAGAACCGAGCAAATACAACAGATCGGATCGAGCAGAATAAATCGGATCGAGCAGAACAAATCGGATCGAGCAGAGAAAATCGATCGAGCAAATCTAACCTAACAGGAGACCAAAATCGACTATCACAACACCGAACCGGGACTCACGAGACGCTAGGACGCTGGCGGAGGCGCAAAGCGGGCTCGATTTGGCGGCGGCGGCGGCGGCGGCGGAGGAAGAGGAGAGGGTAGAGCTGGGATGTTAGGGCGAGAATGTGATGAACCCTAGCACAAATCCCCTCTCCAAGCATTTAATAGAGCCAAAAATGAGGGGAAAACGCCAATTAATCCCCAGAAGCAAGCAAAAAAGGTAATATCGTAACGGCAAAAAAAAAATGAGAGGAGAGTGACGAACCGAGCCAGTGGAGATCGAACGGCGCACGGATTCCTCACATTGCTACGGCTGCTGATGCTGCTACTGATGCCGCCGCGGTGGAGATATCCCTAGCACGCTTCCCCTTGTCGCGCTTGCATCCGCGATGGGATGATGATGACGACGATGACTCATAACTTGCAGAGAGAAACAAAAACAAGATGACGGATTAAATTACAGCGGGATAGCGAGGAAAAGTGGGGGAAAATGCGATGCATACCTTCTCTCCGATCCGTGCTGATTTTTGGGATTTTTTTTTGGCCGCATCCAGCGCATACGCGATCGATGCGCCGCCGGGGTGGTGATGTGGTCGGCTCCTGTCTTCGATTCCGGCGGGGATCGGAGGAATTTTGGATGGGATTGGGGAAGGGGCGACGCGGCGGCGGTGGATGGTGAGGCAGTTCATGCTTGTTCGTCGGGTTCTTGAGGAACGCTCGCGTTGCGATTACTAGCGGAGTAGCGGGGAGCCGGGGAGCCAGGTTGGGTCTTGGGTGAGGAATGTCACAAGGTGAGGTGAATCTCGGCACTCATCCAACGTAGATGCAACGGCTAAGATTCATCCACATCATTCAAATTTTACTCGCAAATTTACTCAGGATTAAAAATTTTGCTGGCGGTGGGTGGGGAGGGGATGGACGGCCGTCTCAGGCTAACATGCGGGACCAACAATAATTTTTAATTCTTTTTTAAATTCATGGCACTGTTTAAAACATTTTTTCCTCTACTCGGAGTTAAAAAATAATCGGTACAGTACTACTTGAGAATGAGTTCCCAACCCATCTCCCTTATTTTCCACATGCACGTTTTTTAAACTGCTAAACGGTACGTGTTTTGTGAAAAGTTTATATAGGAAAGTTGCTCTAAAAATCATATTAATCTATTTTTTAAATTTTTTATTGCTAAAACTTAGTTAATCATGTGATAATCTATCGCTCCGTTTTCCGTGCGGAGTGGAGGGGTTTCCGTTGGGATGAAAACGTAGCGGATACTGATGGATAATGCTCATACCATATTAGTTTTCATAGTTTTTTTTCAGATGCTGTTAACAACCAAATGTTTTTCCATGTCAGCAGATGCGGAAACAAATACGGATAGTTTGAATACGGAACAAAAACGGATTATCTCGAATACAAATAAGAATCGAATATGATCGGACACAAATACGAAAACATTTTTTTCTCGGAACAAGAAAACCAACTCAACTTTTAATAGAAACAAATATCCAACATATATAATTACCTCATTTTATATAAAATATAGTATAATTTATAAATATTTTTTAGAAAAAATAAATAATATTAATAGCGTGGACTAGTGTCAAGAGATGAACTACTATTAAAATCTGAAAAGGTATATTGAAGGACATGGAGTTATAAAGAAATGGGGTATGGGTCATGGCTTCTGAGGATATCCGAATAGCACTATTCACCGGATTTTCGAATTATTTTCCATATCCATCAAAAATTCCGATACCATATTCGTATTCGTATCCGGGAGAAAATATATGTATTCATATTCGTATCCGAAGTATCCGAGAATTATCCGATCCAAAAGATATTCGTATTTGTTTTTCTCCGGAGCGGACGGAAACTATCCGCTCAGTTTTCATCCCTTCCCAACCAGTTTTCATCCCTTCCCAACCCCTCCAAAACAACACAGCCTTAATTAACATAGAATAATATTTTTAAAAAAACTTGATAAATATAATCTTTACAGTACTTCATTAACATAGAATAATATTTTGAAAAATAAACTTCAAAAATAGCTTACAACAATTGGTCTAAAAAACTATGAAATATTTTTGATTTGGAAAATAGATAAATAGCTTACAACAATTGATTTTGCGTTTAGAAAAATAGATAACCAAAATTTAGAAAAGGCTAAAAAGAACCGTGCCTATATTATACATTTGATTTGGTTATATTGTTACTTTATTATTGAAATTTGTATATTCATTTTAATATTAAGAAGCAATATGTCTAATAGTAAGTAAACAATTCTATCAGAGCGGTTCTTTTAATTTATTCTAAAACAATACCCATAGTTAGATCTCTAGTAAACATTTAATTTTAAATTGTAAATTTAACATTTTACATTTGTTTAGCATGCCATAATGGATTCAAATATGTCTGACTTTTCTAAGAATTGGTATGAAGTGATACCAACGAGAATGTGAGCTTGACATGCATATGAGTAAATATATTCACAAACCTTATATTGACAAACTCCTACTATGCATTAAGGCAACATCAAGTTGCCACATATTGCATAGACTTTTAAAGAGCTATAAACACTTTTCGACTGTAAATGCTGCATTAAACAAGTTAAAAATACCAATCCATAATATATAAGCTTTTAGGTTTTAGGTATTTGGTCGACACTTAAGGACAAGTTTAAATGTCCGTGTAATTTACTCAAGAGCAATATATAGTTTCTAATTGGGTCATATCAAGTCTAATGGAATTTTGATCATTGGAATTTTGCCCTAAAGCGTTATATTTCATTATTCTCCCCTCCACCCACCCTATCCCTGATTGAGTGAAAATTGTCACATTTGTTCGCTTGCATGCTTTACCACTTGTTAGGTCATCAACATATTTTAGATAGAGAACGTTGCTTTCATTAATTTATCTGTCAACTATGTCAACAAAAGACAACTCAAAATAGAGGATAGTGCATGTATAAGATATGATATGGCCTTCAATATAAACCTACTTATGTTCCTCTACCTTTTCCCTCATATTTTGTGTTCGAGCAATCTCTTCACAAAAAATAATACTAAGCCATTTATATCCCATGCCCGCTCTTCATATATTTGACGTGATGAGACAACTTCTTTTTTTTTTCTCGAGGAGGGCAACTTTGTTTGATGATGCTTACAAACAACTTGTTCACTGAAATGTAAAAATTTGCTTACTAGGATATATAGACTTGTATGTTTATAAAGTGACATATTTCTATTCATCTATCTTATTATATTTTTCACCTTTTTAGTGGGCTATTTGAATGGCATGAAAAAGGCGGAGATATCCCCTCGAGAGATAAAACCATTTTCCCTACTAAATGGCATGGCTCTAACTTTTTTTAATGAAACAATGGTCTGGCTCTAAATCTTGACTATTGTAGAAAACATAGTTTGTATATAAATAAGGAGCTTGCATTGCGGTGTGTGGGGTAAATCATACACTCCTTACATCCCAAAATGTATGACGCCGTTATCTTTTTGCATAACGTTTGATCATTCATTTTATTTAAAAATTTAGTATAAATATAAGTAAATATTATAGTTCATTTGACGATAAAACAAGTCACAACAAAATAAACAATATTTATATAATAAGATGGATGGTCAAACGTTATGCGAAAAGTCAACGACGTCATGTATTTCATGATGGAGGGAGTAAATTTTGTGGAATCGTGAACATGACGTTTTACATAGTACTACTATGATACTAGAATATAACAATTTTGCAAATATTTTGAAAAAATAATTTATTTATGGCAAAATCGTAATGATATTAATTTACTTCTAAATAACCCTCTAATGGGCTTTCAATTTTGTGTTTGTCGAAAGTTGAGAATTGAAGTATAATAGTAATATATGAGCAACATTGCTACATTGGTAAAAAAGGTACTAAAAAGGATACTTGTCCGACACATGGAAAGCATAGCCATCGTAGTGATGGTCACAGTGGTCGCTGCATGGGCGAGGATGGAGGGGTTGACTTTGGGGATGGTCGGTGTCAATGGTACCGCTGTTGCGGCTATGATGGCACACAACTGCTTTTAGTTGGTTGATCAACACCACCAACCCACAACCATCGTCTCTGCCGAGATGTTAGCCATCATGTCGTCATAGCCGCATAGTGTCGTTGTCTTGTCACCTCCACCGATACTAACACCACCACTCCACCAGTCGTCATCGCTGCCGCCTTTCTCACCATTGCGATATGATCATCTTCTTGACCGATCAATCGATCTATGCGCAGTTGCCGCCTTCAGGTGCATGCATTAGTATATGGAGGAGATCTGGGTTATCTCGTCTTGCCATGCAAACATAGTCTAAATATATGAATGTGGCTTACATAGGACAACGAAACGAAGCTGGAACACATGAACAATCTCGGTGTTGCTTGGATTAACACACGACGAAAACATTTTTTGCTTTTTAAGTAGTAGAGAAATGCATATTTAGTAAAAAAAAAAATTTTGTAGCTTTTAATAAATTAGAAATTTTGTTTGAGAGCTCTTAAAATTTCAATTTTATCACATTCAGTTGACCGGTTCTAGCATGCCACCGACGATTGTATAAGCAATATAGTGTGACTGTCGTCGGTGTGGCACCTTTTTTTTATATATATTTTGAGCTTTCATCTATCTCTATTTATTTCAATTTCAGAGACATACGTGGAATGTAAGGCGTGTTGAATTGTTGATTTTTTTTCTAACGAAGTCTTAAGGTCTCATCGGTTACCCATATTCCGTGGCTTATTAGAGAATAAAAATTAATTATAGGTAAAACTTTTACATATGTGTTCTTAGCGATTAGGAATATGGCTTATTAGAGAATAAAAATTAATAGGTAAAAATTTTACATATGTGTTCTTAGCGATTTAAAGGCCAATGCTGAAAAAAAAAACTACGTATAAAATATCTTAAAATCAATTCAAAATTAAGTTTGAAAATTCAAATTTTAACTTTGGTTTTGGCTTATTAGGGGACCAATGAGCCTCTTACGTTTTTCTTTTCTTTTGACCACCGCTATTTGTTTTCCTTCCAAAGTATCATTATTTATTTCACATTTTATATTATATCTTCCTTAGTTTTTCCTAATTTTTATTTTGCAAATTTTCAGACTGTGTAATGTTTATTATAGTCTAGTGGTATTGTTAACTCATTTGAAGGATCTAGATATTCCTAGTTTAGTTTATTGATAATGAGCTTAGATGTCGGGTCCCAAAACTAATGATTCGGAAACCGACATGTTTAGACTGTATCAAGCCCTGGATCAGTAGATTGATATAGGTTCAACGATCTGGATCTTCATTGCATACATTTGATCAAGGTTTTAAAGGAGATTCCTTTACATAAAATAATAGGGTATTTACAAACTTGTGGCTAACTATTACAGCAGAAGCTATACGATGACATAACTCTAGTGTTTTGCTATAGAGTTAAACCATCTATCTAATCTATACTTGAGAACTAAGTTAAAATGAGATTAACTTATATGATTGAACTTCCAGCTTCGGCAAGAACTCCAAAATGACTCTGAAAAAGGGGTTGAAGCGAGGGTGAGTACAACGTACTCAGCAAGCTATTATATTAACCAACAATGAATGCATGAAATGGTAACTTCTGTGTAGAACTAGGTTTACTTGCAGAAAGCAGAGAATATTGAAGGAAAGTCTATAATGTTTTAAATGCAACAGTATTTAATAAAGTTTGAAATTATGTTCTAACCAAGATGCCATTGTGAGCCCCAATGCCCGATAACCGCGAGCACGGCTATTCGAATAGTTTTAATAATATTCATACTGCAGTAGATGTACGCTTTACCCGCAATCCATGACGTGCCAAACACATTAGCCTTGTCATGTCAAAGCTTTTCGGTTACTAACATCAGTGGTACCTGTTCCATGAACCCTAGTCCCCATGCGCTCTGAACGTAACGTTATCAGCAGCGAGAGGAGTTCTGGTGTTCCCGGGGTTTTTAGAGAGAACTGGTTGAGAGACCCCCGTCATCTCAATCAGGTTTTCATAATACACACACAGCTCGCGAGATAATCAAGATATTTACCTGCGCCTCGGTAAATATCACAATCGCCCTGCTCGGCGTAAGTTTGCCTCCTGCGCGAGGACTTAAGAAGAACCACTATACAGAGGTACCACTTTTGCTAGATAACTTAATCAGCTAGGTCTATGCCCATACGAGAATTGCGGTCGTACTCGTATGTTCTTCACATGTACTTGGCAATCTTATGTCGGTTGGAACAGTACTAGCCACCCGGAAATCAACCATTTCTACCGTACTGTTCCAATCTAAGTTCATTATATTTTATGCAGTCTAACTAGGCAGGGCTAAGCAAAAGCTAGCATATCTGGTTTGCTATGTTCAGGTTATGCATTTGAAATCATGTATGACTAATGCATAGAATAGAGATATAGAATATAGGGCATTTATGCTCAAAGGAGAGGAATAATAACTTGCCTTGCTCTAACGCAAATAAATCCGAGATAGGCAACCTGATTATCCGATCCTTGAAATACCACAGGTTGCCATTCAAAATATAACAGACTCTACTGTAGAAGAGGAAGATCCAAATTCAATAAAAGCCATAGAATAACAAGAAAACGACAAACGGTTAAGAGGGCTAGGGTTTAGTGTATAACCTATCTTTTCTATAGGGTATAGGGATTATTGGCTAATATTTTATGTGCAGGTTCTAAAGGGTTGGAGGCTAAGGTGGATAAGAGATTAAGCAACTAGGGTCGCTTATATTTCATGCATGGGCTTCTGTGGTTTGGAGGATAGGAAATATACTGGATAAATGATGTGGTTAAGTAGGCATGTGGCTGGTATAGGTCAAGGTCAGGCTTTGATAGAACAGTGGCTAGAGTTTAGTTGTTCTCGAGTCGATGCTGAAATAGTATAGCATATCGGCTCGTAATTCTTGCATAGGCTATGGGTAGTTGGAGGGTAAATGGTTGAGATTATAGCTGGCGGGGAGTCTGGCTAATAAGCTGACTAAGGTTTCAATTGTCTAAGCCGATATCGAGGTAGGATAAATATCGGCTAGGGTTTGGGTGTTCGCTAGTCGTCGCTAAAGCATGACGACTATGTTTGGTATCTTCTCTAGCCAGTGTCAACAGACAATATAATGGCTAGAGGGATGGGAGGTTTGTGCAGGTTTAGTGGGGCAGAAGTGTTACTCCGACAACCGTGAGTGGCGGCGGAGCGGCTAGGATCACACATGGCCCGAGAGCTAACTGTGCGGCGTGCTGTGGAGGTCGATGGAATAGTGAAGCTCCGACCGCTATAGGCATCGAGGCGTGGGGTGCTAGGAGCAGCACTTCGACCTTAGGTTTGGTTTTGCCGGGCTTTACAACCAACGGTTCGACGTCGGGGCCAGTAGACCACACGAACGTCCCCATGGAAGGCGTAAAGTTCCAACCGGCGGCTTTTTAGTGGCTAATGGGTATTTTTGGGTAAAAGAAAATATTTGAAAAAGGCAAATATAAATTCAAATGATATTTGAATAAATTCAAATAAAATTATAAAATAACAAATTAGGCATCAAAATGAAGCATTTGAATTTATATGAATTTAGGTCCAGGTTTCACTGAGATCGGATCTACGGTTTAGGAGATATGGGCTTCTAAAGATTGGGATTTGAATTAAATAAAGAAAATATGAAAGGTTACTATTCATGGGCCTACCTGTCAGTGCCTATTCCCTTTTCTCTTCTTTCTCTTCTTCTCGTCTTCTTCTTCCTCCCGCTTCACAGAGAGCCGAGAGAAGGGAGAAGAGAGGGAGAAAGGGGCGCTGGTGCTCCGGTGGTCGATAGGCTGCGACGTCGGCGGCAAAACATGTTCCCGAGCGACGCGCATCCGGGGAGGGTGGTAGCTAGCTAGGTGGAGAGGGAGATGGCCGGAACAGCGACGGCAGGAGCTCAACTCCGGCGATAAGAGAAGGTGGTGGTGGCGGTTTATCTCAAGGTGGAGGGAGAGGGGAAAGGGGAAAAATGGAATCACCTCGTCGAGGCGAAGCCAATGGCGCGAGGATTTGGTTAGTGGAGCTCTGGTGAGGGAGATCGGGCGGTGGCGGCAATAGCCGGTTATGGCTGGGAGAGAGAAGGGAAAGAGCTTTTAGCTCGATGTGTGGGGGAGAAAGGATGGGCTCGCCGGTATTTATAGGCTTCAAAGGTCGGTTCGCAGAGGAGGAGGGCGACGAAGGCACGGCTGCAGCGACGTGAAGGAAAGAATGACGACACCGGTTCTTTCCTCCCATTGGACGTTGGAGTCGGTTCGGCTTGCAGATGTCGTCAGCGAGGTGAGGTGGTGGCTGACGTAAGATTGGGCGGCAGAGGAGGAAGGCAAGGCACGGCGTCGGTGGAGTGGGGACGAAGAGAACGGCGCCGGCTTGATTCCTTAGCGGCGAGGTTTGCGGCGGCGTGCGCCGTGCACGGCACGCGCACTGAGAGGAGGAGGGAGGCGGCTGGGTTGTGGGTTGAATTGGGCCGGCTCGGCTTAGCTGGGCCGGCAGCCCAAGAGGAAGGAGGAAAATAGAAAGAAAAAGGATTGGGCCAAAAGGAAGAAAGAACGGAGTTTCGGCCCGATGACAAAAAGGAAGAAATCTAATTTGTATACTTGATTTGGATAACTAGGTTTTGCGAAGAATTTGAATTCGGAGAGAATTCACAAAGGAGATTTCCTAATTTATTTGAGTGCAATATTTAGAGGTGGAATTTGAGGGAATTTATTTGGAAGCACTCAAATAGGAAGGGAAATTAATAGTATTCCTCAAAATATTTTTGGGGATGTGGTACGAAAATAGGTGGAGGCAAAAGAATACGATTTGAACCCTAAAATATATGGCATGGGTTTCAAGGAATTGTTTGAGGCTAAAAGGAAATTTAGGTGACAAGGATATAATTTATTTTCTTAGCACAAGAGCAATTATTCACAATATTTGTAATAATATTATTCTTGTGCCGAGAAGGAAATCAAGCCACGGGAATTAAATTAGCGGCTAGATCAAAAGGAAGAATTTAGATATTTGGCGATAAATAAGAATATGTTTGGAATCAAAGGATAGGTTTAAAATCAAAGGATGGGTCGACAATTAAATCCAATTGGAATCGTTTGGTTTAGGTTCTAGGACAATAGTGGAGAATTTCTTGGACCATAATTCATAAAAAATAGAAAGGGGTTTTCAAACTAAATTTGAATAAAAGAATTTTTGTCAAAAGAAGGTTTTAAACCAAATCAAGAAATACCTCAATTTAACCAAATATATATTTTAAAATAAAAAACACAAAAGAGATTAAATACCGCATAAGGATTCTGTGCAAGTTAGTTTTAGGAGGTCCCTCTAATTATATTGTCCTAAGTTTAAGAAGTTATTAAGAACATAAGAATCGGCATGATGCAGGATTGGAAAATGACACATTTTCAAGATGTTACATTAGAACTCCAGAGAGACTGCAAGCTGCAAGAAAGCTCGAGCGATGTGGCATCTCTTTCTTTGTTACATGTGTATTTATTTATTTATTTTTCGCATATGACTCCATAATCTATTTTAAAAGCTAGTTCTGCCAATTGCACCAACTTTAGAAGTATTGAATATTGATTGATTAAAAACATTTTCTACCCCTAACTCGAACGACAATAATATTTGAAGCTAGAGAGATGGTACTAGTTAAAAAAGTTTGGAGTTTGAATTAAACAAACATGGCCAACATGAAGATGAAGACAATGACACTAGCATTCTCATTAGCCAAACCAGCGTTAAGTCCTTAAGTATATGTCGATTTCCATAAGGAATGACACACAAATTCAATGAACAAAAATAAAATTACCTAATGTGGTATAAAAAAATCAATAGATGCTCCAAGCCAGCGATAGCAGTCCACCCTGTCTTAAAAAATGAGTTGAAAGCAAAATTGGAAGAGAGAAAGAGCTGTAGCCGGCGACTAAATTAGCGCCAACTCCTCACGAGTTACAAGATAGTCAGGGCCGGTCCTGGGTTTTTGGGCCCCAGGACGAAAACTTATATTGAGGCCCTTATATATCTATATAAACTAATACATATATTTATATAATCTTATAAACACAACATTTAATATTCGATTTGATAAAATATTATCTATATATAACATTTTAAAACTTCAAAGAGAAATAACATAATCATAAACACTTACTAGTTGGCACTTTCAAAATTTTGGCTCATTGATGCATTAGCATTACTTGTGAAAAATTCTGTCAATAGTTCCTCGTTGTGTTTCAATGAAATCATCCGAACGCTTTTTCCGTTTCCTTTTTTCGCTACCGGATGCATATTTTCTCGACCACATGATTAATGTTGTGCTGAAAAAATAATCATCATGTGCTGGTGATTTTTTATTTATGAAGAGGAGAAAAAGATGGGGAAATTTAACAGATGAAATTTACCTCGAACGAGGGACACGACCCGACGAGCGTGGTGAGCCGCGACTGCGAGCGCCGAGCAGCAGAAGCAGGCGAGTAGCAGGCGCCTGGCGCGGTGGCGCCGATCGGCCGATGAGGCGATGAGCAACACTGCAACAGGAGTTGAGGAGCAACAGACGCCTGCCCGTGGCCACCGGGTGATTGGCATGAATCTGAATGGCTGAATCCTGATGGCCTCTAGCCCTAGACGACAACGTAGACACCCAGAGATCGAGGCGACGCGCGACGGGAGGAGTCAGATCGCTTCTCCTCCTTTGCTCCTCAGGCCTGGCGATGGATGTCCCATGGGCCATGGCCCATCACCCATGGGGGCCCTACAATTTGGGAGCCACAGGCGGCCGCACGGGCTGACCCTAGGGTCGGCCCTGAAGATAGTGCAAAGCTTAAGTAATTGGCTCACGAATAGCTGAGCAGTACTTGCTCTATACAAATGAAAAAGATACAATGTGATAAATAAAATGAAAAATAATATTTAGAAAATTATGCACTGCAGCTTATTATTGTACTCTAACCATGGCTCTACATGATATGGAAATTTTTGGAGCCATCCACTGGCTATACTATTGATCTCGCTCTTAGCGCCATTTTCCAACCATGGCGCCCTAAAGCCAACAAACTTTCCACCACACTTAAAAGCGATATTTCGGGAATATGCATATGTAAACCACCAACAGTCACCCACTCACCTGTTAATCCGCCCACATTCTCATCCCAGATACCCAAACGCCGCTGCCGTAGTTAATCCACTCACCCACTCCTCAGACTGTTGAGTGCCTCCTATTTAATCTCCGCGCGAAGACGTGCGAGAGAAACCGCCGCGAAACGAGGCAATGGCGTCGGGGTCTTCCAGTTCCAACGACGCCGCCGCCGACCTCACCGTCCTCGTCGACGACTTCTACTTCTCCGTCCTCTCCCACGGCCGCAACGACGACGACGACTCCGCCGATGGAGACGACGGCGAGCTCTTCCCGATATCCGACGAGAAGTACGCCTCCGAGCTGCAGCTCCAGGAGGTGATCATGTCGTCCTCCGTGGCGGCCACCACGGCGCGCTCCTCGTCGGCGCCGGTTATCTTCATAGGTGAGTGCTCCTCCTCCCACGCCGCGTCGTCGTCGTCTCGGTTGACCTCGATCCCCGCCGCCGCCGCGACGACGCTCGTCTTCTGCAAGATCTGCATGGACGCCGTGCCGCCGTCCGCCGCGCACCGCGCGAGCCGCGGGTGCGACCACGCCTTCTGCGCGGCGTGCCTCGCGGGCTACGTCGGCGCCAAGATCCAGGAGAGGATCGCCGACGTCCGGTGCCCCGAGGAGCGGTGCCGCGGCGCGCTCGACCCGGAGCTCTGCCAGGGGATCCTCCCGCGGGAGGTGTTCGACCGGTGGGGCGCGGCGCTGTGCGAGGCCATGGTGCTCGCCGCCCCGAGGGCGTACTGCCCGTTCAAGGACTGCTCGGCGATGATGCTGGACGACGCCGGCGAGGCCGTCACCGAGTCGGAGTGCCCGAGCTGCCGGCGCCTCTTCTGCGCGCAGTGCGCCGTGCCGTGGCACGCCGGCGTCGACTGCGCGGCGTACAAGAAGCTCGGCAAGGGGGACAGGGGCAAGGAGGACCTGCTGGTGGTGGAGATGGCCAAGGGGAAGAAGTGGAAGAGGTGCCCCAAGTGCAAGTACTTCGTGGAGAAGTCCCAAGGTTGCCTGCACATCACCTGCAGGTGCTGCATCATTTTATCGTTCAGATGTCTTTTCTTCCATATCTTGAATTTTCTTTGCAGGAGTATATATGTTGTATCAAATTGTTTTTGAGATGATCATGATCATCACAACATTTTGCAGGTGTGGCTTCGAGTTCTGCTATGGATGTGGAGGGCAGTGGGGCGTTACTCATGCGAGTTGCAGCACTGCATGAGAATTCCAGTTTAATTTTGGCTGGGCTGATCTGATTGAATTTTTCTGTGTTCTCAGTGAGACCCTAGTAGCATCAATTATCATATTTAGGAGACCGATGGTCATCAGTAGCATGAATTATATGTCATTCTCTCACCGAATTAAGTTTCGGTTATCAAAAGTATGAACTTGGAGCTAATTTCTAAATCTAAATTCGCTACACATGGCACACAGCTACCGCGATAATATTCGCTTGAATACCACATTCAAATTATTTGCAATCTATATATTGTCTGTTAAACGTTCGACCTTGCTTCATTTGACCATTTTAGATCTGTGAGTGATTAAAAGTGCTTCCAATGTGTATACACTCGGGTGTTCAATAATTCTTCTGGTAAATGATGTACCCGTTAACATAAGTTAGTCCAATCTTCCGGAGATGTGTATAGGGGTAGTGTGTGCGTTTATAGCGATGGGTATATGCGTGTTATAATCGTCTGCGTTTGTAACGTGTTTCCTAAAAAAATATGTACTAGCTGGCTAGCTGCCATTCTGGCCCGTTCTAGCCTCCTTGTTTTGTTAATTAGACAGAATTGAGAGTATGTAGCACCACAGAAAAAAGGGTTAGTTATCGAATTGTTTCCATCTCTTCAATGTTAGCACTTGTAAACTTGTGGATCTTGTCCATTTATTTGATCCCTCAAATCCGATGCATGAGGCCTTCTTTGAAATGGACGAATCTCAAAGTTTTTCTTTTGAGCAATTTAACTACATCCAATGATTTTTCTTTTAACATAAAAACTGCGTGTTATGGTGCCATAAAAAGGTTGCATCCGGTTTTATGGCTAATAGTTCCATCAATATTCCTCCAATTGTTAATGGACTGACTGCTGTAAATTTTTTCAGTCCCAATCAGAACGCAAGATAGGAAAAAACACCAGAATTGAAATGGTTACTTTCATATAAATTGAGTCAGCCTAAAATTATACTATTTTACCTAGGCTGAGTTTTTTTTCCCAACTTTCCTAACTCATCTACATTTTTCAAACTGCTAAATGATTTTTTTTAAAAAAAATTATATACGAAAGTTGCTTTAAAAATTCATATTTATCAAAATTTTAATTTTTTAGCTAATAGTTAATTAATGATGCATTAGAAGCCTTAGTAGATTGGTGCCAAAACAGTGCATTTGGCGCATATTACAACTGTAACAATATTTAGGCACCACAAGTCCCAAACAAATTACTAGCTGATTCTTAAAACGAAAAATAATTCTGGCCCATTCCATCTCAAAACTATTGTTGCAAATGTGCAATGATCAATATTGGCACGATGACTGTGTTTATTTCCTTTCAAACTTCTAATTTTTCCGTCACATCAAATGTTTGGATATATGCATGGAGCATTAAATGTGGAAAAAAAATCAATTGCGCAGTTTGCATGTAAATTGCGAGACGAATCTTTTAAGCCTAATTACGCCATGATTTAGCAATGTGGTGCTACAATAAATATTTGCTAATGACGATTAATTAAGTTTAATAGATTCGTCTCGCAGTTTACAGGCAGAATCTGTAATTTGTTTTATTATTATTCTACGTTTAATACTTTAAATGTGTGTTCGTATATGTCAAAAGAATTTCGCCAAAACACAGGCCATCTTTTTTTTAGAGCAATATTGGGACATCTTGGGGGAACGTGGAGCAAACCGCACGAACACGTCCCGGGAAACTGAAACGGTAGGCCGGCTCCTCAACTCCCACTAAACCCAACCCAACGGAAAAAAAATACCAACAGAACCCACCAAATCCCCACGTTCCTAGGGTTAAAGTTAAACAGATGGATTTGGTCGGTTTTTACCAAGCGAAGATAAAGCGGTTCATTTATGTTAAATCTATCCACTACCCCAACTACATCGATCGATCACCGCATTTTCAGCAGCGAGAAAGCTTTCCCATCTTTCCCGGCAAAGCTGGCGCCGCGCACGCGAGCCATGGCGATGGCGGAAGCGGCCGAGGGACAGCGGCCGCGGCAGCGGCAGCGTCGGCAGCCGCAGCCGCAGCGGCAGCAGCATCCAAGCTGCGGCATCTGCATGGAGCCCATGCCGCCCTCCGAGGCGCACCGCGGCGGCGGCGGCGGCTGCGCGCACGCCTTCTGCCGCGCGTGCCTCGCGGGCCACGTCCGCGCCAAGGTCGAGTCCGGCGGCGGCGCGGGCGCCGTGCGTTGCCCCGACCCGTCGTGCGGCGGCGCGCTCGACCCGGAGCTGTGCCGCGGCGCGCTCCCGGGGGACGTGTTCGAGCGGTGGTGCGCGGCGCTCTGCGAGGCCATGTTCGCCGGCGCGCGGCGGACGTACTGCCCGTACCCTGGCTGCTCCGAGATGATGGTCGCCGACGCCGACGACGAGGGGTGCGCGGGCGTGACGCAGTCGGAGTGCCAGGCGTGCAGGCGGCTGTTCTGCGCGCGGTGCGGCGTGCCGTGGCACGCCGGCGTGAGCTGCGCCGAGTTCGGGCGGCTCGGCGAGGGGGAGCGCGGGCGGGAGGACCTGCTGCTGGTGCAGGCCGCGCGGAACGGCGGGTGGAAGCGCTGCCCGCGCTGCAGGTTCTACGTCGAGAAGTCCCACGGCTGCCTCCACATCACATGCAGGTGCGCCATCTGTGATCCGAGGCTCTGTCGCTGGTGATCTTCTTCTATACTGCCCCGTTCTTTTACGATGAAGATAAAGATTTTAACTCGGTTTCTGTTAACACGTTTTTCAAACTCCGAGAAAAACACACGAAACAGCACGTTTTATGTGTGAACTTTATATATGAAAGTTATCTTTAAAGTATCAAATATGTATTATTTTAAGTTTGTAATAATTAAAACTTAATTAATCATACGTTAATATCTTTTTTTATGCCCGTATTTAATCTGAATCTTTATAAGATTAGAACGTAGGCTACTATCTAAACTAAAGATCCATTTGTTACCACGGATATTATAAGAGATAAAGAAATAAGTATAGATGGTACGTAACAAAAGTATTAACGTGTGGAAAGTATAGAAACTTATATGTCAACCTAGAGATATCATTGCTAATTAACATCACTTAAAGATATATGCTTTAGGGCAGTAGAGTTACATTGATGATTTATTTGTGATTAATCACTTAAAGATAATGTATCTATGTCTGGATTCACCAATAATGCCATGCCAGGTGCGGCTTTGAATTCTGCTATGGATGTGGGAGACAGTGGCAGCTGATACATGACGGCTGCTCTGGGTAACGATGCCCTGGTGGTGATAATACTCCTCGATGATAGTCAAGCAGAAGTCGATTTAATTACAAGCGAACATGCACTGATCTCTCGCTCGAATGACATATGCCACTTAATGTTTTTTTTTAATGTTTGTTTCGTTGATCTTTTCTGATCACTTGGACTCAACAGTGAACACAGGTTTTCCTACTGCCTTTATTTTTTATGGGAATTTCCGTGATGAATCCATTTGTATGGGAGTCTAGAAATTTCCTTGGTGGAACAATTGTGTCGAAGTCTTACTCTTCCTCTTAGATGCACCAACTTTTGCCCATTTTTTGGGAGTTGATTAAACTGATTCTTATGAAGTATGAACGTCATGCAAAATTCAGGCTGAAGATGAAAAACGCGTCCTCCAAACGAGGAGAAAGTTGATGTTTTGCCACCCTATCCGGTGCGCTTGGATAAGATACAACCCTCTACATTGCAACTAATAAATGTCACCCATTTTGTTGTAACCTCTAGGATTTTCCTCTGTTTTGGGATTAAGCGAATTTTAATTTCTCTTTGCTCTCTAGTTCGTCACTTTACCATAATATCCCATCCGGATCTGATACCTCACTAGTATCAACTGATATTTGTTGATATAAGATTTGATATTTTATTGATATTTGTTGATATAAGATATGATATTTGTTGATATAAGATCTGATACTATATCGATAGCAACTGATGTACCTATTGATAACCAATCAATACCAGGTTGATATCCTCTCTTCCCCCTCGATATCTTATCTGGTGACGATGACTTGCACCTCAACGACGCCTCTCTCCTCTTTGGCGAAGGCGGCATGCTCCCCGTCGGCGTGGAACCCTTCTCCGGTAAAGACCCCTCCCTTCCCCCACCCCTCTCTCTCTGGAGACGAGCTCCCTAATGACACGACGAGCTCCCTAATGACACAACAAGCTGGAGAAGTGCCAAATCACCTTGCCGTGCAACATGATTCGGTGGCACAGCAAGGCGATTTGGCACTTCTCCAACGAGCTCCCCCTTTGCAACAACGCTTGTCATGCAACTAGGCAATGCATCGAGGTGGACATGTCTCTTCTTCGGTGATGTGCTCCCCGACATAGCGGCGAGGCAAGGCGGAGGAGGCCTTCTCCAACCAACTTGCCACTGCTAGGCCTTGGTACACCGTCTTACTTTCACATCTCTCTTCACCAACATCGATTGTGTTGGTCCCCCTTCACTCTTGATGGCGAACTATAGGTGCGACATGCTCTTCCTCCTTGCACGACGGTTCTCCCCAACAATAAGCAACAAGCTAGAGTTTGATGGCTTTTATCAGTGCTTGTAAGAAGACAATTTTGTCTGGTACATTTATGAATTATGTGCCGAAGCGAGGAAGGACTCCAAAAGAGGGAGAGTGCCATCGGTGGTTGGAGGAACTGTATCGGGAAGGGGGGCTCCTGATCCCTAGCAGCGGCGGCAGCAACCAGCTTCTTGCTCAAGCGACGAGAAAAGGTAAGGAGAGAACGATGCGAGATTTGATAAACAGAAGGGCGATCGATCCATTATGTATTCAAGGGGCACAAGCACAATGGTATTTTTTTGGCTTGCTAATCTTTGTAGAAAATAATAAAAGAAATTAAAGTTGGGTTAATCCGTTCAAAGTGGTAATCATCTTATCATAGTCTATTTATCTATTTATTAGAGTGCAAATCGTTGATTTACATCTTCTACCAAATGAGGCACTGAATAGCAATGGATCTATCAAGATTGGTTAGGGCCGGCCGGCTGTTCCGTTTTCAACATTTAGCAATCCTACCTGACTCTGATTTGGGTCCACCTAGGGTGCTATAGGGCTACTCATATCTCGCCCAATTTAGCACGAACTAATCAGCTACCTTGATTTGGGCACGTTGGGTTGGGCCGAATTGGCCTAGACAACGTTCCCCTTACCTGGCTCGGCACAGACTCATCTGGTCAGGTACTCAGGTCGTCCACATATGCTCCTCTCCCAGAAACATTCCCCCGAAACAGTAGTGTAGCTAGCCAGGACAAGCTGCAACAACAACAACAACACCACCACTCACGCGGTCGATTTCGAGTTGGCAACGCACGCACGGAAGGGCCGAGACGGTGAAACGCCACGGGTTTTACACGCCAAATCTACCCCGTTTTTTTCGCCCGTCTCCCCGTCAGGTTTCCGCCCGTGACGAGCAGCAGCAGCAGCTAGTAGCACACCGAGCGCACAAGCGTACGTATACGTGCGTACACGGACTGACGAACACATGGGAACAAGCGGTTAATCCAAGGTCCAAACACACGCTCTGGCCCACTACGCCTCGGCCCATCCACCCCCACCCCCATATCCGTCCCCCTGCCACCGGCCACCGCCACGGCCACGGCCACGCCGCATCTCCCCCTCCCCCTCCACCACCACCCCACCCCGTGTCCAGCTTTGTGCTTTCCCCTCCTCCTCCTCCCCCATCTCCACTGATCTCCTCACCTCTCCGGATCCGGCATTCCGCCATGGCGTCGTCGGCGTCCCGCACTCTCCTGCTGCTGGTGGTGGTGGTGGTTGTGGCCGCTGCCGTTGGAGGAGTGTTGGGTGGGGGAGGGGAGGAGAGGACGTTCATCGTGCGGGTGGATGCGGACGCGAAGCCCTCGGCGTTCCCGACGCACGCGCACTGGTACGAGGCGGCGGTGATGGCAGCGGAGGGTGGTGGTGGTGGAGGGGAGTGGCGGGAGGGGGGCCCGCTGATCCACACCTACTCCGCCGCCTTCCACGGCTTCTCCGCGCGGATGTCGCCGGCTGCGGCGGCGGCGCTGGCGGAGGCTCCCGGGGTGGCGGCGGTGGTGCCGGAGCGGGTCCGGCAGCTCGCCACCACCCGCTCGCCGCGGTTCCTTGGGCTGCTGTCGTCCCCGCCGTCGGCGCTCCTCGCGGACTCGGATTTTGGTTCCGACCTCGTCATCGCCATCATCGACACCGGCATCTCCCCCACCCACCGCAGCTTCCACGACCGTGGGCTTGGTCCGGTGCCGTCCAAGTGGCGCGGGGTGTGCTCGTCGGGGCCTGGGTTCCCGCCCAACTCCTGCAATCGCAAGCTCGTCGGCGCGCGGTTCTTCTCCGCCGGGTATGAGGCCACCTCCGGCCGCATGAACGAGACGGCGGAGGTCAGGTCGCCGCTCGACACCGATGGGCACGGGACCCACACGGCCTCCATCGCCGCCGGCCGCTACGTGTTCCCGGCGTCCACCCTCGGCTACGCCCGGGGCGTGGCTGCCGGGATGGCGCCCAAGGCACGCCTCGCCGCGTACAAGGTGTGCTGGGTGGGCGGCTGCTTCGACTCCGACATCCTTGCGGCTTTCGATGCCGCCGTCGCCGACGGCGTCGATGTCGTGTCCCTCAGCGTCGGTGGCGTCGTCGTGCCGTACTACCTTGACGCCATTGCCATTGGGGCATTCGGGGCGACGGAGGCTGGGATTGTTGTTTCGGCTTCGGCCGGCAATGGCGGCCCTGGTGGGCTCACTGTGACCAATGTGGCTCCCTGGATGGCCACCGTTGGCGCTGGGTCCATGGACCGCGCCTTCCCGGCCAACGTGCAGCTCGGCAATGGTCAAGTGCTCGACGGTGTCAGCGTGTACGGCGGGCCAGCGCTCCAATCCGGCAAGATGTATGAGCTTGTATATGCTGGAGCAAGCAGCGGCGCTGCCTCGTCTGCGGCTGACGGCTACTCGGCGTCCATGTGCCTCGACGGCTCGCTCGACCCCGCCGCGGTGCGGGGCAAGATCGTGGTGTGCGACCGCGGCGTGAACTCGCGCGCCGCCAAGGGCGACGTGGTTCACCGCGCGGGCGGCATCGGGATGGTGCTCGCCAACGGGGTGTTCGACGGGGAGGGCCTCGTCGCCGACTGCCACGTTCTGCCAGCCACAGCCGTCGGCGCGGCCGCTGGCGACAAGCTCCGTAAGTACATTGGGTCGTCGACGCGGCAGGCGCCGGCCACCGGCACCATCTTGTTCGAAGGCACCCACCTCGGCGTGCATCCGGCGCCTGTGGTGGCCGCGTTCTCCGCGCGTGGCCCCAATCCCCAATCCCCGGAAATACTCAAGCCAGACCTGATTGCCCCCGGCCTAAACATCCTCGCCGCATGGCCCAGCGGCGTCGGGCCGGCCGGCATCCCCTCCGACGGCCGCCGCACGGAATTCAACATCCTCTCGGGCACGTCCATGGCTTGCCCGCACATCTCCGGCCTCGCCGCATTGCTCAAGGCGGCGCATCCTACCTGGAGCCCCGCGGCGATCAAGTCAGCGCTCATGACCACCGCCTACATCAAGGACAACAGCAACGGCACCATGGTGGACGAGTCCACGGGCGTCGTGGCCGACGTGTTCGACTTCGGCGCAGGGCACGTTGACCCGATGCGCGCCATGGACCCTGGTCTCGTCTACGACATCACCCCCGTGGACTACGTCAACTTCCTCTGCAACCTGAACTACACCGAGCAGAACATCCGGGCGATCACGCGGCGCCCCGCGGACTGCCGCGGCGCGCGGCGCGCGGGGCACGCCGGGAACCTCAACTACCCGTCCATGTCCGCCACGTTCGCCGCGGACGGCACCAGGGCGACGATGAAGACCCACTTCATCCGGACGGTGACCAACGTCGGCGGCGGGCGCGCGGTGTACCGCGCGACGGTGAGGTCGCCCGAGGGGTGCGCGGTGACCGTGCAGCCGCGGCAGCTGGCGTTCCGGCGCGACGGGCAGAAGCTGAGCTTCACGGTGCGGGTGGAGGCCGCGGCGCCAGCCAAGAAGATGGAGCCCGGGAGCTCGCAGGTGAGGAGCGGCGCGGTGACGTGGAGCGACGGGAGGCACGCCGTGAACACCCCGGTCGTCGTGACAGTGCAAGCGCCGCTGCAGTAAAGACGACAAATCCGACGCGATCATCTCAGTGTTGTTCAGTGAGTGAGACATTGCTCCTTGGACCATAATTGCATTAGTATCTAGTAGTGTTAGTATTATTATTATTATACATATGTATAAGCTTAAGCTATACTGGGACTCTAGCTCAGGGTTCTGTAATCTTCTTCTTCTACCTCCCTTTCAGTCTCCTCATCTTGATCATCTCTTCTTTTCTTCTCTGAAGCATATGCCATTATTATGTGGTTTTGCAGTGGTGCTACTACTACCACCACAGTACCACTACAATGTGAGGGTTTTCAAGAGGTTTTATGATGTGTGTAAAGAGGCAAGGAATTAATCCAATCATCTGTGCTATCAACACCCATGGTCCTCACCTGAGCTCACATGGACGTGTGAGACTCGATTGAGAGATTTGGCCCAACGTGTACTTGCTAGTGTACCACCTGGATCAAGCTTAACTGCCTTCAATTCAACCTACCTCATCCTCCTCCTCCTGCCTCTTGAATTTTTTGGGAGGAGATGGAGGGAAAGCCAAAGGCGGCTGCCTGCCGCTGCTGCTGGGAGGAGGAGCATCAGCAAAGCAAGGCAAAAAATCATCATCATCATACGCGGCGTGGCTTTTCCGAAAGGGGCCTTGCACTGTGAGAGCAATTACGTGGCATCAATGGCAGCGAAAGGGGGTGGCAAAAGCTGGTGCGGTCCGGAGACCAAAAATGAAGCTTGTGCCTGGGCGGAACATGCTGCAAGTTATTGCTGCAATGCCGTGCTCGGGACAAGGATTTACTTACAGAAGCCGTCCCTTGACGGTGCTAGTGGCCATACAGAGACTTTTGTGTGTAAGGGTGGTGTGGTTTACCTGTGCTGGTGGGTGGGTGACTGTTTTGTGTTCCCCCATGATGCTAAACAACTGATGATAATAACCGCTTTTAGTAGTACTGCTGCTGGATATTGTATCGAATAATGTTTGTTGAGTTGTTGACTTGATTTGACCACATGTAAGTAGTGCTACGTACTCCCTCCGTCCATAATACGAGGGATTCCCTCCGTCCCATAATATAAGAGATTTTGAGTGTACTCCCTCCGCCCCATAATATAAAGGATTTTAAGTTTTTCTTGTACTGTTTAACCACTCGTCTTATTAAAAATTTTTTGAAATTATTATTTATTTATTTTGAATTACTTTATTATCTAAAGCATTTAAGCACAACTTTTCGTTTTTATATTTGCATAATTTTTTTAATAAAATAAGTGGTCAAACAATATAAACAAAAATTTAAAATCACTTATATTATAGGACAGAGGGAGTACAGACCATGGCTAGTGGATTAATGTACTATAGTACTCTACTACTAGGAGATTGTGACCAGGGAGGCGATTTTTTTTTAATTTTCTTTTACTGTTGGGATCACACGCACTTGTGGAGCTGTCGTGAGTGGAACACAGAACTACAGAAGAAATAGTGCACCGAGATCTTTTTTTTTTTACTACCAGAAATTTATTTCAACTAGAAACATAGAACATGTTCGATCATACAGGTTTCCGATCTGAAGAGGTTTTTCAGAGAGCTTCCTTTGCACCGTGCAAGTGTAACCACGCGGCATTTTCTTGTTGGTTCGTTTTATTCCATCCGGCCAGCTCTACTAAACACAAACACAAGTGCTTATCAAAGCACAGGCATGTGTTAGCTATGCCCGTGATGCTCACGGCTCACGGCTCTACCATGTTCACTTAATTCTACCATCTGCTACACGCAGTTACATGCAAATGCAATGCGAGACAAGACTTGTAATTCTTGCATTGAGCCTCATGAGTACACACTATTGAAACTAACCCCACTCGTAACACATGGATGCACGCGTTACCAACTAACTCAGGGAGGTAACAAGACTTTGAACATGCACGTAAACTTGCACGCGAATATGTATGCACGGTTACATCATTAGTACATGATAGTGATACTCAAAAGTCAAAACGTGCACTCGGCAGATATATCAACATGTAGCTATATATTGCAAAGACAGTAACTGTGGCTTCTATCTTTCAAAAAGAAAAGGAAAGAAAAGAAAAGAAAAGAAAAAGAAATGCGGCATGCGAATCTCTAATAGTCAGCACTCCTAATGGAAAAACAACTGCTCTGACTAACTTGTTTCTAGGCTTACGTCTTCTTTGTACTTTAACCTTTTTCCTCACTGTCATCGCCGGATATCGAAATTCAATAGGCCAAATTTAGGGGAAAATAAGCAATCACAAACGTGGTGAAAACTTGAAAACTACCGTTGGATCGAGAAATGAACATCCGAGATTCGTTCACGTCATCATGAGTAAAAATTTTACTCCCAACAAAATTTTTTACTCATGAGTAAATCTGCGAGTGAAATTTTTAATCGTGATGATGTGGAAGAATTTCGGACGTCTATTTTTCGATTCAACGGTAGTTTTCAAGTTTCCATCACATATACAGCTTCCACCATATATTTTCTCCAAATTCAGGGGGAATAAGTCCACATTGACTCCCTTAAAAGTGACCCGAATCTAATCCGTGACCCTCAACCGCAAAATGGATAGGACGACTCTTCGAACTATTGAAACTAGTGCAATTTGACTCCCTCAGCGGTTTTGTAGGGCGGTTTTACTGATGTGGCGTTGACGTGGCAATGTTGACCTAGTCTTCATCTCATGTGGCGCTTCTGTGGCATTTGAATTAAAAAATATACGTGGACCCATCTGTCATTCATAAAAAAAAATATATTGTGGGACCCACTGACATGCGGGACCCACGTGTCATCCCCTCTCTCTCCCCTTCACCGGTCTGCAGGGGCGGGACTTGACGGGCGGCGACAGCAGGCAGGCGATAGTAGGGAGGCGGCGGCGGCGAGCAACCAATAGTAGCGCGGCGGCGGTCGAGGGACTAGTCGGCGGCGGGCCAGAGCGGCAACGGTCGTTGCGAGGTCCCTGCCTTTCCCCACACATGGATCTCGCCGAAGCCGAGGTGACGCAGATGTTTCCCTCCATCTCGCCGATCTCCTAGAACGGTCGGGCCTCCACCTCGGGCGACGCGGGGAACTCGTGGGGGTAGCCTTTCTCCGAGTAGTATTAGAGGTCGAAGCCGATGGAGGTGTGCCAGAAGGCGCGGCCGCGGTCGCCGAGGAGGAGGACTCGACCTGCTCGACGATTGAGATCCCGGAAGAGACGCTCCACTCCCATGTCCTAGAGGAGGAGGAATCCATGAAGCCCCCGTCCTCGGCCTCGGCAGTGCTCGCCGCCGACCGGCTCCAGATCGACGCCGCCGACGCATCTCCCCGCCGACCGCCCAGCCGTCGCTCGTCCTTGGGCAGGCCGCTTCCTCCCACGGCGACGGCGAGCTGCGATCAGGGAGCGGGGTAGGGAGCAGCGCGAGGGACGTCGCTGCCCGCCGCAGCCTTCGCTTCGTCGCCCGAACGCGGACGGCTCAGCCATCGCTCCTCGGGGCGCGCTGCCGCCGATCTGCATGGGACACCTCTGGGAGATCGGCGAGATGGAGGGCAAGAGAGAAAGAGAAGAGAAAGGGGGAGAGAAAGAGAGAAGGGAGAGGGAGGAGGAAGAAGAGAAAGAGGATGACGTGTGGATCCTATATGTCAGTGGGGCCGTGGCCTATATGTCAGTGGGGCCTATATGTGGGTCCTATATTTTTGTAATTTTAATGCCACGTAAGCGCCACGTGGGATAAAGATTAGGTCAATATCACCACGTCAGCACCATATCAGCAAAACCACCCTCCAAAACCGCTGAGGGAGTTAAATTGCACCGGTTTCAATAGTTCGAGGAGTCATCTTATCCGGTTTTGCTGTTGATCAGGGTCATGTATTAGATTAGGGTCACTTTTAAGACAGTTAAAGTGGACTTATTCCAATTCAGGGCAAGAGCGGGACCGATTGCTGATTTGCTGTCTCATAGATCGACACAATCTAGGGGCCCATTATGCTAGCCCTGAAAAGGTTTCGTGAGGACATGCTTAAGTGCAGCCCAATTGTCTCTGGACAGCCATGGCTCCGCGACTTAAAGTGCAGCCCTAGTGAAGTGATCAGGGCGGAAGGTCTACGTGCAGGGGAATAAGTTCACTTTAGGTCCCTAAATTAGACACCGAGTTTGAAATTCAAATATAACGGGTGCCTCAACTTACAGAACCAGTATGCCCAAAATTCCAAGCAATATAGTGCTTGATTTTAACTAACGTGGTGAGTGAGACCTATATGGAGCCCCATATGTCAGGCCTATTTCTCTTTCTCTATTATCCCTAGTGAGAGTGGATTTTAAACTCTTGAGAGTCGAGAGAACGTCCCCACGTTGCTTGCATGCTATTTAAATAGTTATGAACTTTTTTAAAAAAATAATAAGAAGACTATGAATACACGTTTTCTAGCTGTAATTTAATTTGATTTTTCGTTGCGACTGTTGAACTTGAATGTTTGTAGAGTGATATATCACATATTAATAAACATTCTCAGTTTTTTTAATTTTTCTTAACTATTTAAGTGACACGTAAATAACGAGGGATTGTTTCTCCTCTCTGTATCTTCCATACCCCATCTCTCATATCTCTCTCCCTCGCCGCCCCCTTCTCATCGGCCCCCTGCCACAGTCGTAGCCGGTCGGAAGCAGGCCCCTCGTGGCCCCCGCGTGACAGCTGCCCAGCACTCGTAGCCGTGTTCCTCCCTTTGCAGGGAAGGCATCTTCTTGCCGGCCCACACTACTGGAGAAATCATCTTTGGTCGATCGGCCAAATTTCACAATAGTCCCGGTTTTATTAAAAACCGAGACTAAAAAACATCTTTAGTCCCGGTTGGTCACACCAACCGGGAAAAAAGATCGGCATACGTGGAGATCGAGGCATGCGTGCGGATCGGATCGAGATAGCTATCTCCTCCCTCCTCCCGGTTCTATCTCCTCCTCCTCTCCTTTAACTCCTCTCCTCCTCTCCTCACTTACCATATCTGTTCCTCTCCTTCTCATTCTCCTCCCCTCTCCTCCCCACTTCTCTGCACACCCCTCCTCCCCACTTCTATGCACGCGGCGGCCGGCTGCACGGAGGGCGGCGCCCGGTGGCCGGCGGAAGGCGGCAACCTGCGTGGCGGCGTGGCCGTGCGGCAGGTGGCGGCCTGCGCGGGCGGCGGGCGGCGAGGCGGCGGCCGGATTTTTTTTTTTTTTGAGAATTTGTGATTTGGATCTGAGATGTATTTGATTTGTGTGTAATATGAATATGTGATGTATTTGTGATGAATTTTGTAGAACTTGTGATGTAATTTTTTAAAGATTTTGTGATGTATTTGGAGATGATCTATTTGAGGATTTGGAGGTGATAATCGATTTGGGATTTTACGATTTGGGGATGGGGGATGGAGTGAAATCAATATATTAAAAACAATGAAGAAAAGAAGAAAAATAAAAGAGCAACCGAACCTAGCCCGGCTCCATTTCACTAACCGGGACTAAAGATAGATTTTTACTCCCAATTATTTCACACGGGAAACAGGGGTTATCCACCGGGAGTAAAAAACATTTTGCTAAATTGGAGTAACAACAAACAAAGAAGCGAGCTTCTTGCTGCTGCTAGCTAACCCCGTATCCTACCGGCGCTGCAGCCATCGAGACGACCGGTTGTCGCCGTCCAAACCCAACAGACAAGCGCTCCCTTTCTCATTCATTGATTCATTTGTCAATTAATTAGTGCGCATGCGCGAAGATGAACGATCGGCTGCTGCTAAGCTTGGTACGTAATTCTGCGCGCGGCGTGTCCGTATGATCAGGTGAGAGATTCATTCAATTTATTTTCAGAGATCGATCCGACAATCCATCAGTTCCCAATATACTGCAGGATTTTTATTTTGCAATTTGCATGCCATGAGGCACGCATGAGCTTACTATACCTATCTTATACGCAGCCTGAGGCCATGCCGACGCCTTCGGAGTCGATGTAGCCACTGGGGAATCGGGGATGCCTGAGCCAG